GCTAAGCTCAGCTAACTGCCTCCTGGCTATGGCTTCATATTTAACGTATAAACACGTGAGTGGTATTGATCTTCTCATTTTACTTGTGTGAATAAGTGTCTTTCCAAAAATGTTGAACTATTTCATGTTCTTAAAGGGAAACTACAGCTACATCAGTAGCATGTGTCCCAACCTCCTGCTTTGAAGCTAGAAGATGAGATGAGTGTGATAGAGAGACTTGTGTTTATATGTGAAGGCTGTATGCTACAAGTATGCCAAACACTTCAACCAAAAGTTTGGCTTCCTTCTTTGTCAGGGCTTTCTGATGGAGGATGCACTCCTGAAGCTGCTGGCTCCCCTGGAGAAGGAAGAACAGATTCTTGTGAAGATGGGCTCTCTCTTGTGTGTGAGTTCATGTTATTTTCCTCCTCATTCCACCGATAAATACACCAGAGCCAGCCACTTCAGCTGCTCCACCACTTAGTGTGGGGGCATAATGCATCAGTGTGTTGTCGGACAGCACAGGGCAAAATCCTGAACAACCACACATGTTTTCTCTTCCAGTCCTTTGGCATTGAAGAAGAGGATGTGGCCAAGTTGGCTCATTTCTTCTTAAAGGAAAAGACGGAGGTGAGGAGGGAGAGAGATGAGGAGCGCAGTGAACGGATGCCTCGTCAAAGAAATTTCCAATTGGACATCCGCTGGTGCAAAATATGGCCTTTGAGTCTTTGACGTACAAGATCACTGTAATTAGACAATAGCTATTAGTGCATCTTCTATCACTGTTCTTTCTGCCCGCAGGATGTTTGTGGTGAGCAGGGTGAGTCCAGTGACCAGGCAGAGGCAGTGGAAACCAGCTCTACGTCTAATCTGACCTCTGACCTCATCCATCCGAACCATGTCCTGCCTGCTCTCAAAAGTTTCCTCAAGCAGCACATGAGGTTGGACTGGCTGTATCATTTAAATACTATTACTATATACTGTATATACTATATATACATATATATATACATATATATATATACTGTATATATAGTATATATATATAAGATCCTAATGTGTTCCTTGTGCTTTCTAAGGGAGAAGAAGCAGACCAGTTTTATGGAAGTAGAAGTCCGGGATAGTTCAGAGGACGAAGCCTACTGGGAGAGTATGGGTAACATAATCTCTGAGGACAAAGTCAAACTCTGGGAATTAGCAGAGACCACACTACACCAGTACCTGTGAGTAATAACACACACACACACACACAGACACACACACACACACACACACACACACACACACACACACACACACACACACACACACACACACACACACACACACACACACACACACACACACACACACACTCACATAGAGAAAACAAACATCAATATTCAGAATGTTATTTTTGTTTATGCAGAGAGGTTCTCAGCGAGATCTCGGAGTTCATCCCTGAGGCGGAGGGTCTGTGGCAGCAGAACACAGAGCTGCGGATGCTGCTGGAACAATCGCTCGTCTCCAAAGTACGTGTGTGTTTGTGTTTATGTGTTGCACTGTTTTTCAGATACTCACTGAGGGTGAAGGTTGATGCCCTTCCTCGACAACAGTGCAAAAAAAAATAACAACAGTGTGCTGTAATGTACTGTGTGTAATAGTGCATGCAGTATTTTCATCATAACAGTGTATTATAAGGCGGAAAGGATGACGACTAATCGATTAGTTGATCGACAGAAAAATTAAACAATTTTAACAAATTTAACCAAAAGATTAATTGAAAATATTTTTTTTAGCAAACGTCATAGATTTGATGCTTAAATATGGAGATGTCTTGCTTCTCCAGTGTCTTTCTCTCTTTCTGTTTTGGACTTGTGACCAAACAAAAAAAATAATTTGAAGATTCCAACTTGTAACTTTTGATTGACATTTTTCAATTTTCTGATATTTTATTGAGCCAAATGATTGATTGAGAAAATAATTGTCAGATTAACAAATTGAAAATAATCCTCAGAAATTAGAGCTGAAACAGTTAGTTGAGAAATAGATAAATCAATCCACAGAAAAATGATCAGTAACTATTTTAAAAATTGATTAATCGTTCAATTCACTTTTCAAACATTTTCTGGTTACAGTTTCTCCAAGATTTTCTTCTTTTCACTGTCAAGCTTGATAGTTGATGACATCAAATATCACTGGGTTATGGACAAAACAAGCTATTTCAAAACATCATATTTTATTCTCCTACAGGTCGTACATCAGACGCCATAGCACATCATCAAGCTGGAATCAGCACATGTATGAACATGTACTGAGTTTATATTCATGGTAAAGAAGAAAGCTTCTATGAAATCATGTTGTGGTTGCAGTTTTTATTTTTTACAGCTCTAGAGGAAAAATTGTTGAAACATTACAGTTGATCAAAGATATACAGGATTTCCTGTGCTACACACGGTGTATATAAAATAGTACAGAAACATACAGCGACCATGTTTGTCGGGACTGCAGTGTGTTGTTTTTATCCAGCAATGTTGAAGAGCTTGTGGCTGAGCTCTGAGGGGAGAGAGAAAAAGAGCAGAGCCAGGAAAAGCAGACCCAGCACAGCAGCCAGCAGCACCACACAGTGCAGCTTGTAGTGCCTCCAGGCCAGGATACACATGGTCCTCACCGGGCTCAGCAGCCACGACATGCTGGCGTTGGGACGACTGGACAGAGAGATTAGGACATGAATTCTAAACTTTACCAAAGAATATGCACCTAAAAGAAAACTTAAACTAGCTTAATTCTTTGAAGAACATTTATGTGTGCTCACTGCTGAAACAGTTGAGGTTTTAGTTGAAGTGGCAGTAGAAATAAAAAATACTGAAAGAAGTTAAAATAGTTCATGAATCGTTCAATGAAGTGGTTACAGACTGAATGTGTAACCACTGAGCGAAGTTGAAACGGCAGTCGAAGTGTAGTTGATAAACTGAGTCGAAATGACAATTAACATGTAAGCAGTGAAAGCAGCTGAACTGTCATTTGAAGAGTAAAAGATGAAACACATCCACTTTCTCACACACTCCGAGGGAGCTAGCAACTGTATCTCAAGACATGTCGTGCATGGAATTCAGTTTATTTCAAATTGCCAAAACAGAAAAAAAATAAATATCCCACACATTTCAACAGATATATAAATACACAAATTCATCGTAAAAACAGGCAAGTTTAGTGCAAACAATAACTGTAATCTGTGAAAATCAGAATCACAAAGACTGCAACACAAATGAGGTCAAGCACAGGCAAAATTTGAAAAGGGGATAATGGACACTGCAAACAATGCCATCTGATATGGAGACAGGGCCAGAGTTTTCAGAATCAACGCGGACCCATTTTACTACTCCGCTCAAGTGCACTTTAATCGTACTTCCATCTTCCCATAATCTGTAATGTTAGACAGTTGAGTTGGTGATTTGGTTTGTGTCGAGCTGGAAAGACAAGTCATGCCAACACACAAGACCTCTGTGGTCAGTTATCACAATGATGCATGCATATTGACATATAATTCTACATTCAGGTAGAAAACAGTAATAACTGCTAAGTATTTGTTGCATTTGAGGACATTTTAATCAGTCAAATGATATTTGCAAATAATTTGTTTCATTCTCCTGTGAGGATTTTATTGACACAAGACAGTGACATTAAGAGAATTTACAGACTAAGCATAGGGTATTCTGAGAGAACGGGCTGAACTGTGCTTTATAAGGTAAAAATATATTTAAAGAAAAATGGGATAAAAGTATGTTTTTTTTTTTTTCAAATTACTTGCAAATACAGTCTGATCCATGTCTGGCTTGGTTGCTTTGATGGAAAAGATTAAACATAACAGTTTAACTAAACCCTGTAGAGAGCTTATTCATTGTTTTATTATTTGTTTAATTTTGAAGTCATCTTGTTCATGTCTCATTGAATTTCATTAGGAAAATAGACATCTTTATTTTGTGTTTCTTCATTATATTCTTCAAGTGTGCAAAGACCGCAAGAGCTATAATAATTAAAAAATAAATGGTAACACTTTGCTTTGACCACCCATATTTATCCTTTATAAGCAGCATTTAAACATGTAATAGTTTATGACACACTGTAATGTAGTTGTAGGCAGATTTAAGTGTTCATGGGCACACATAAGTGGAAGCTGGTGTATAAACAGATGTGAATGAAGGACAATATAATAAAAAAGGTAAAATATGTCTTCACAGGAAAAGGTTAATTGTTGACAAATACTGTACATTCTTAAACATTTGAAATGTCCTTATATGTGCTTACAACTACATTACAGCGTGTTGTACAGTAAACCATTTATTAAATGTTTATATAGCGTTTATAAATGCTAAACATGTGGGGTGGGGGGTGGGGGTTGAAGCCAAGTGTTACCAAAAATATTGTTCATTTGTTCCCTATTAACCTAAATCAATAGCAGATGTTGTAGCACTAATGGGAGATCTTACACCATCACTTGAAATGAATGTCCATGCAATCGTCTGACCACCAACCCAACACTCCGCTAATAAATAATAAAATAAATGAATAAATAAGTTACAAGCGGTATAAACCGATAAAGAAACATTCATTGTCGTGACGTTGCTTGAGGAGAAGATCAGGGGGTTACGTTGTGGCGTGTGATTGCTGTTCACTCAGTTCAAGGATGGAGTGTAGATAGTGAGCAGTGGATCAGTTAGGCTTGCTGCAGATCGGATTGAGGATTAGTGTTTCTCATGACTGTGTGTGTGTGGGGGGGAGGCGGGGGGGCAGGAGGGAAGGGGTATTTCGGGTGGTGTTCGCCTTTCCCCTCAGAGCTAAGGTGGAAAGGTGGCGAGCTGTACAGGAAGATCAGAATGGATTAGAGAGGAGAAATAATGCACTCGGACTCCCGAAAGCGCCTTTTTTCTGAGACTGAGGGAAACATGACGTTCTCCCTCTGTGTCTCCCTCCTTTCACCCACCCATCCAGTTAACCACCCCCCACCCCCACCCCGCCCCTCCTGTCTTGCCAGCAGCCTTTCAAGCCCCCAGCAGTTTCTTGACAAGGTAGCCTGGCATGCTGTAGAGGAAGAGGCCCAGCATGATGAGTAGCAGCAGGGCCAGCACGATCTTGATGATCAGCCACTTGTAGCGGTTGCACACCAGGTAGCGGATGGCTTTCAGCGGGCTCAGGAACCACAGGAAGGTGGTGTCTGGGCGGCTAGAGGGGATGGATGGAGGTTTGACAGGTGGAAAGTCACGAATTTGGTGAAGTGGGCATGCGGGCGGATGGAGGAAGGGGAGAGAGAAATGGGGTGAAACATGGGAGAAGTAAAAGAGAGAGAGAGAGAAAGCTGGCATTAGTGGTTAGTATGCCATGTTGCATTTGTGAGTATTATTTTTAATACAGCATGCTCAGAACTAACATTTGTATAAACAATGTTTCCAAGGATGCAAAGATCACACCACAGAGTAAAAGCTACATACGCACAATGGAGATACGGTAAAAATGGATGGATGATTGACCAACACCTCTGTCTTGAGGGAATGAGCTTTTCATTGTCAATAATATTTTGGTAACACTTTATTTTACAGGTCCATAAATTCCAGTTTATTTCCTTATAATGTTTCCTGGAGAGAACCATATAATTTAGTGCTGATTACAGGTAAAATAGAGAGTGATCCATTGGTACACTTAAATGCCACGCCAGCACAAGCTTGATGTTTTTATTCAGAGGAAAGCCAGTGAGCTACACATGTCTCCAAACAAACATATAATAATTATTAAAGTTTCCAATAATACCCCGATGAGTAGTGAATATTCATGGTGGTTGAATTTGAGTGATTTCTTTCATGAAAATAAATCAAAACTCAACATAACTGACTGAACTAACTAAAATAATCTAAAATTAGAACCAAACTACATGTTTCTTTCGGGATCATTTCGAGAAATTATTAGAAAATATTACTGATGATTTAGATTAATACAACTTTATCCAACTTCTGGTTTGTTTCATGTCATCATAAGAAATCGGGTTGCCCATGTTCCAGTATGATTCTACCACTATTCAGTTTTTATTGATGTGCAGATATTATCAGTATGAGACTTGAACTTATAGTTATTCTGAACATACATATACGTATATTTATATATATATATATATATATATATATAAATACAACTTTATCCAACTTCTGGTTTGTTTCATGTCATCATAAGAAATCGGGTTGCCCATGTTCCAGTATGATTCTACCACTATTCAGTTTTTATTGATGTGCAGATATTATCAGTATGAGACTTGAACTTATAGTTATTCTGAACATACATATATGTATATACATATATATATATAGACATTAATAAAATAATTTAGAGATATATTGATATTTGAATAACATTACATTTAAAAAAACTAAAAACAAACATCAAACCTGCCGCACAGCTTTACTTGGATGGCCTTTTTAAAAAGTACACTGGGCATCTGACATGAATAATAAAGACATCTTTCCTGCATTTCTCCATACCGCTCAGTTGGTCACTTATCAGATGTGTAATGGCACTTTGTGGCAAAAGACACTGGCAAGACGAGACACAAAAGAGACTTTTCTAGTGCTAGGACAGAAGACGAGCAGAAGGCAGAATACAAAGAAATTGAGTTTGGCGCCACAGAAGAGAAGGTGCTACAGGTAGGACAGGAGAAACCAGGAAGCGAGGGGTTAAATAGAGAAGCAGAGAAAGCGAGGAGGGGGCGGAGGCTACCAGCGCATCAGGCCCCCAGCATCTTCTTGACCAGGTAGCCAGGGATTGAGTAGAGGAAGAGGCCCAGCATGAGCAGCAGCAGTATCAGTCCCAGGACCTTGAGGATCAGCCAGCGGTAGTTGTGCCAGATGAAGTAACGAATGGACTTCAGAGGGCTCAGAAACCACATTAGACTGGTGTCCGGGCGACTTTTCGCAAGGAGGGAGGAAAGGGGGGAAGGAATGCAGATGGAGGCAAAAAACAGGGAAAAGGGTAAGGAGAAGAGGAGTTACACAGAAAGGAGGGAAAGGACGAGGGTAGGGGAGAGACAGAGGGAGACAGTTGAAGAGATGGTAGGAGGAGAAACGAGTGTGAAAGTGTAACAGTGGCCTTTTGACAGCGCAGAAAGCAGCCACGGTCAAACACGACCAAATCTCTATTAGAACATCAAAATCTCGACTGGTAGGGATTTTTCATTCACGGCTTTTTGCGCTGTAAGAGTGATTTACCCGAAGAAAAGATTTAAGGGACACTTGCTCATGTCTGTGCCTTATTCTGATCCACACAACCATCCTCAAGTTTTAAATGAGTGTCTGTGAGAGATTGATTCTGCATACATTTTCAATAAATACAACATGTCAGTGTCTTACTTTGGTTTCTCCAGTGGATCTGGCTCATTTCGTCCGAGTCCTACAGGACTTTTCTCTGCCTCTTCTGCTGTCACCAGGTGAAGCTCAGCCTCTACTTTACCCTGCAACGACATTAATAACAAATTAAATTAAAGATACCTTGTGGAGTTACACACACATCCATACACATATACTTGCCTTTTTTCTCTGCACAGGGGCCATTTGTGTCATACCCTCTGTACATATCAATACAGTGCTTTCCATTTGGACTTTTGATCAATTAAATTAGGGGTAATTTTGAGATGATTTAAAATGCGGTGGTGAACTACAGTTGTGATTTTGCTTGGTACTTCATGTCTGCCTCACCGTGAGCTCCATCTCATCGTTCTCATCACGGGCAACAAACGGCCACCAGCCTTTCACTCTCTTTTGTTTGAAGATGGAAATGGTGGGAAGCTCCTGCTCATTTCGGATCATGTCGAGGGAGCACTGCTTGGCTGTCTTGGCGCCACGGGGGAACCGGTTCAGGTCCAGCTCAATCGCACCTGGGAGTAGTGAGAGTTAAAGCAGTCAGATACTAAGGGTGGTGATGCAGATGTGAAACAGATGTGCAGTTCTGCTGAAAACAAGCAACAAAAGAGAGAGAATGTGCAAAAACATATTCAAATCCAACAAGCAGCAACCTGCTCCCATCAGTTCTCACCCAGGAAGTCATCAGCAGAGAAGTGGTCGGCGTCCCAGACCTGCAGTGTGAGGCGAGGAGGGATCTTGTATTCGGTCTCATCCCAGGAGAACATGGACTCTTTCTTAGAGATGACGATCTTCTCCTCGGCCATGAGGTAATCGAAGGGGAAGACGAAGCGCCAGTTAAAGTTGCCCTCACCGGTCAGGGAGTGATAGTGCACATCTGTGTCCTGCTTGTCCTCCTGCTGCCCTTTCAGCCACCTGTAGGAAGGTCACAGGCAGGTTAGAGTCACAGAGGTCAGAGCTGACCTTTAGGATCATGGTTTGGTGAGATGAGTGAGTCGATCAGTTGTTTAAATCATGCAATTACAATGTCTAAATATGTAGGAAATTGCAATTGTCTGTCAGTTGCTGTGTATTAATTTGGTTGATTTAACAAGGAGCACAGGAAATATACCAGTCTGCTAACAAGAGAGATGATGCTCATAGGTCAAAATCAAAACACATCATGTGACTCCCCAATAGCAAATCAGATTAATATATTGATATTAGGATAAATGTTCCTGAGCAATACATAAAAATCTGATTTGATGTTGGAGTTACACACTAGTTTCAAAGCCATGCAGACACAGAACTTGTAGAAATGCAACATAAGGTTAGTGTCTGGATGCAGAGGAGCAGAGGATCAAAGCCTGTGGAGTGAGTCTGTGCCGGCTAGAGCTCTTTCATTAAGAGCTGAGTGAGGCGTCATTAGTCAAAAGGAGCAGGAGAGAAGCTGCACAATCAGTTCTCAAATCGCAACACTAAAAACATGAATGTGAGCTGACAAAAGATAATTGTCAGGCTGAAAGCATCCTGGTGAATACGGAAAAAAATGTGAAGGAATGTGCTTTGATTTGGTAACTGAGATGCACTCGGACGCATTAGGCTGCAGTGAGAAAGAACTGAGGCGTTTTAGCTCAGCTACAAAGGGCATGGTGTCGCTAAAACATGCCTGATCTCATGTGACTCAACAACTGAACCATCACTACTGTATCACAACACTGTGTCCATCTGAAACAACCCGCAGTTTGTTCTAGCTTTACTGTCACGGTGAAACATTTGGATCAGCCGCTACAATCAACAGTACTGAACAAAAGCGATCTCGATTTCCAAAACGCCTCGTCATCCTCCAGGTGTTCAGGGTTGTTTGAGGATGGCACCCTGTTTGTTACAGTAAAGTCCTGCTGTGACACATCCACAGGTGACACCAGGTCAGCTGAGGGAAAAGTTAGATTGGTTAGGAGATGCAGGAGTGAGGAGGCTCCACAAAATACCAACATCAGTTACTTAAAATAATAATCAAATATCCAGGCTGCAAAACGACAATGTTGTTAAAAACATTGGAGCTCTGTCATACGGACATGCATATCGTTTGCATACACAGTATATTTCCATGCAAGAAATTTTTTTATGATAAAAAAATATCTGAAAAGTCTTTATTTAAAGTAACGTCCAGTAGCAACTGCAGTACAGGACCAAACCACAAGGATTATTTAATGTTATTTATTACAGGCGCCCTTAATTGGTAAGTTCATTACTTCCGTCAAGGAAATTATGTTTTCACCCGTGTCTGTTTATTTTTCAGCAGGATTAATGGAAAAAAAAAAAAGTTAAAAAGTACTGAGCCGATTTGCACTGAACTTGGTGGATGGACGGGACATGGGCCAAGGAAGAACCCATTAAATCCTGGGGGAGATCTGGATCATTTCCTATGAATTTGAATTTTTTTCTCTGTATGCTATTTGACATTTGCCTTGGCAGATGTTTATGCTGTCTGAGTCCCCCTCTAATATTAGCAATAAATCAAAAGACAAATTGTGATGAGAAAAGGGGCTGCTCGTAGTGATGAACCCACAGAAAAAAAACTCTCCTGACTCAGTTTCTCTAAGCTCTGTGCAGCTTTCTTAGCATCTTTTAACTCACTGTTTTGGTTCGACAGCCCACATCTTTACTGTTTTGGTCCACTCTCGCTGCTCTCATCAGTGTCATTTTTAGCGAGATAGCTTTAAAAACTCAACTGCATGCTACCTGTTCAACACCGAACAGCAAACAGACAAATTAGCAACGAGCTGCTGAACACAGCTAAAGGAGCAGATATTTCCCTCAAGAGCTGGAGGAGAACAAAGTTAGAGCTAAAATTTGAGTGAATATTGGACCTGCATTCATCAGGTGGCCAAATACCTGAGTCAAAATGAATGCTAATGTTGCTCCATGTCTGCTGGATGTGTAAAGAAGCAACTCCTTGCTAAGATTTTCACCATATCAGCTTTATAGGGTGATAATATGTCAGCGTTGTGTTTACAGCTTGTTGCACAGTTTTTCAACCAGTTAACAATATCTGGCAGATTTCTTGAAGTCTGTGGTTTATGTGCTTTGGTCCTTACTGTACAAATTCTTCATTTGGCATTAGTTCACAGCGTGCTGATGGGAGACAAGCGTGGTTGCGTGCTGAAGAGATAAAACAGGAAGTGGGAGAGATGACAAATAAAGGATTGAAAGGGCTTCATGGGGAGGAAAGAAGGGAGGTTGTTGTACGAGCCATGCGATGGTATCGTGTGTTTACCCCCTGACATAGATGTCAGACATCTTCTCTCCTGTCATGAAAGCATCGTCCTCTAGAATTACGTCATCAGTGTTCCAAATAACAACACGAAGCTCAAAGCTAGACACCAGCAGAGCATTGACAGGAGAAGAGAGAGAGGACGACAGACAGGAGACACACCACAAACACAAAGACAGACGCAACAAACGACACAAACACGCACACAGAAAAATGGAAACAAAACAAAAAAAATAATGGTTAACTGCAAAAAAAAAAAATCCACACACAGCTCACACCCACGGGACAAGGCTTGGTCGCCACGTCCCGCTGTACCTACCCCCTGACAAATATGTCACTGGACTTTTCCCCAGTGAAGTAATCATCGTCCTCCAGTATTACTTCGTCTGTATTCCAAATAATCACCCTGAGCTCATATCTGGTAAGGGGGGGAGGAAGGAACACATACACACACATAGTTGGACTTGTATTTGACAGTAAATGGAGAGCTAACTACTCAAACAGACTCACCATAATTTAACCTGGGGATAAAACTACAAATTCTGTTGAAAAAAAACTGCAGAGATTTAGACACTTTGTAATGCAACAAACAAATTTCCCATTTAATGCATTGGATTCGTGCTTTTCTCATTATCAGAAAACGTCATTCAAATTAATATCTTTTTGATTTGCTCAAACCAAAGTGTACCTCTTTGGTTTCCGCGGTGATATGTCAATCGCAGGTCCAGGAGCAGGCATGTCCATAGGAAACATGTCCACCCACATCTCAATACGGCCCTTTGGACACAAAAAGGAAATGACACAGTTTAACTACTGCTTTAATTGATTTGATTTATGACACTAGACAAGCGTTGCTCTCTCTCTCCTACCTGTTCGATGCCGGGCTTGTCGGGGTTCAGCAGGGGTCTGGTCTCCACGTGCTCAGGGACGAGCTTGCATCCCAATCTCGGGATCTCTTCCCAGTGGTTCAGCACTGTCAGAGCCAGATGCTCCTCGGTCTGCTTCTTCAAACCTGGGCGATCATTACAAATGGAGGAAGAGGAGGAGAGACACAGGAAGTAAAATATTTAAGCACTTAAATCAGTATAAAACAATATTACCAGATTTAATTTAAGACATTTATAGCCCTATAGACTCTTATACTGATTACAGGATCAATACCTATAGTGATTACAACCAAGATCACCTTAATGAGCTTCAGTGCCCTTATAAACTTATTATGTGAAATGTACTCATATCTTGGAAACCCACTGTCACCACTGTGAAATCAGAGACTACAAATAATCTCAGGTCTCACTTGTACATGGTATCACAATCATTTTGACAGTGAAATAGTCACATATGTAGGACCTTGAAATGACCTTACAGCCTTAGGAGAAAACTGCAGCCGTACCATTCTCATCTTCAATCTCTGTCTGTCCCTGGAAGATTCGACTCGCTACCTTGACCTTGCCGCCAGGCCCATAATGAGGTGCATCGATCTTGCCGTCCTTACAGAGTTTAGCCAGGATCTGGCTGGGCTTCATAGGGTCCCGCCAAACATTGTATCCATGGCTAACGTCAACAGATATCAAAGAGGTTACAGACATTTTGAGGTCAGAAAATACTAATATGTCTAATCATCCAAGGACAATCTCAAGACAAGGTGTTTCATGGTGACATTAAAAAATTAAACATTAAATCTTGAAGAAGAGACCTATAAAAGCCAAAGACACACTGATGCTCACACAGAGTAGTTGGATGAGATGCCACAGGTGGCTCTGTATTTGCTGTAGAAACGATTCTCCAGGTCAATCTTTGTCTCGCCGATCAGGTCGTCAGTGCCAACCAAGTCCCAGTCGTACACCGACACTGTTAGCATGGACTCCATGGGGAACGTGGCCTCAATGTCAAATGATCTGAAGGAATAGGAATAGCGGGAGGAAGGAAGTGGTGGATGAAGAGAAGGAGTGGAGAATCAAAAAGAGGTATGATCTTGTTTCAAAAATGCTGCTGCGCAAAAGTTCCAGACATACTTTTCCCCTGCAAGACAACAAAATGGGACAAAATTTGGAGAAAGGTGTAGTCTCTCAACTCACTTGCCAAATACAGGATTGAGCTGTTTGGAGATGTAGTTCTCCTTGTCTTTGACCTCTGATTTGCCCAGCTTGATGACGACGTACGGATCAGCCTTCCCATTGATATCAGCAGGATGAAGATCTGTAGCCTGAGAAAGAAAACAGAATTAAAGAAAACAGCACAGAGAGAACAGTTTAAACTGTAATAATAATAATAATAATAATAATACGCTTTTCAAAGTACCCAAGGCATATATATAAAACATATAAATGAAAATAAGACAAGAAACAAAAGGGTGGCAATGATTGGAGGACATTGTAGTATATATTCAAAATAGTAAGGAGGTCACTCACCCTGACCACATAGACACGGACAAGGACATTGATTGGATCGTTATGAGGAATGCTCTGGAACATGCCCATGTTAGGATCAAATCCTGCCTCTCTGGTGATCTCCTCAGACAGAGGTAGCTTGTACATACATAGGGAGCCCTGCGTCGGAGGAAAACAACAGGTTAACATATAACTTCTTCTGTCTGCTCTTATATGTAGGCATGTATTTGTTTTCACTCGGTGTTTTCCCACCTTGAATCTGCCAACAATCCTGTCGTCATCCAGAGCATGTTCGTCGTCGTCCCCAGCTTTCCCTCTGTACAGGTTGAAGGTGTGAAGCCAGTCTTCAAAGTTACCATATTCAGTCTCTAGCTCCTTGTTGTACACCTGCACCGGACATAAAAACACATCAAGTGTGAGTATACAGTATGCCTTTGCTGGTTACATTTTTTTTTTTTTGCCAAAGTATGAGTGATACTCACCACCAGCTCGTCCACTTTTGCTTTAACCGGTCGTTTCTCAGTCCCGTCTGCAGCCTGATTCTTCCTCTTGTCCTTGGAGCTCTTCTTCTCTCTGCTCTTTTCTTTTGTCTTGGAGCCTTTCGGAAGAAGGTCATCGGGTTTGATATCTGATCGGGTGGGTGAGTGGAGGTGGAGGTGGACAAAGTATTTTGAAGTCATGAAGAAGGGCGCACAGGGGGGATGCACACAGCACTATACATGTCACTCAACATGAAAGCTGACATCTTTTGTTTATCAGGGCACTAAGTTTCCCTGAAATCATGGTGTGAATGTAGCCAAATGTTCTTGGATTCTAGAGAGGAAATGGCAGAACCGAAAATATCTGCAGCCTGGTGTTAAGTTACTCTTTAAGGAGAAAAACAATGAAATGCTGAAGGGCAGTTAGTAAAAATGTTATCATGAGAAATGTGATATTGCATCTTACCAATAGATGATTATTGCAGTTGAAAAAAAACATCCTGCCATATTTCATCTTGACAGCAGAGAGCACCGAGGTTCATAGGAAACTTATCGCAGTCTGGGAATAAATAATTTATGCTTTTATGTCATTTAAGCATATATAAGTGTGTTAGTGCAGATGTAGATTAATTCAGTGATTCTGTATCAGCCAACTTTCATGTGCACTGCAGAGCTGGGAGGAGATGCTAATGTAAGAAATGGTCATGAACATGATAATGTTTCAGTCAGTTCAAAGCACGGATAAAGGATGGATCCATGGGATGAAGGAGACGAAGAGCAGGAAGTGCATACTCTGCATGCTCTGTGCTCGAACTCACATCTCGCATAGACAAAAGCTGCGTCCAAAATCACCATCTCCTTCACTGCTCTCTTTATAATAGACACTCAGTAGTTCGCCTGGTATTGAGCATTAAATGGTGATTTTGAACACAAGTTTAACTCATAACAAATATTTCTCTGTTCCTGCTGACACACTTTTCCTGCATTTTCTTCACCCTGAGGGCTGCCAGCTCAAAATACATAACAACAACTAGGAATCATTCTTTAAACAACAAAAAGAAACTGAAAGAAAATAGTCAGGAACATGTGCACACTTGTAGAATCACAATCTAAAATCTAATACTGGTGATATGTCCCTCAAAGCAGCAGACGTGGAGGCCGCCTGTCTGATCTGGTGGAGCTCAATACCTGCCGACTCTGCTGCTATCTCCAGGTCCTCTCTCTCCTCCGCCTCTGCCTGTGCTGCCTCCTGGGCTCTGAGGGTCTGGCAAACCAGGAAAAACAAAACACAGTGTGATAGGATTTCATAAGTGAGGACAATCCTGTGTGAGACTCACAAAAACACATGTAGATTAGACTAGAGTAGACAAACCTCCTTCAGTGTCTCTATTGAAGCAAAATATTTGGACCACCAGTCCAGCACACTCTCGTCCGTCTCCTCCTCTTCTTCGACTCCTCCCTTCTTTTTCTTCTTCTTCTTCTTTTTCTCTTTGTCACCCTCCTCCTCGGTCTGTTCAAGAGATCAGACACTGTGATGACTCTCAGCAGCTTCGGTTCTTATTCACAATGTGCCAGCAGTTAACTTAAGCACATATTTCCATTGCCAAATTTCTATAGGATCGATTACTCACCATGTCAACTTTTACAACAGCATCAGACATCTACGACAGAGGGCGTCACATAAAACAACACAAGGGTTAATACACACGATGGATGATGCAGGTAGGAGCAGCACATGTAAAAAGGTAAAAAGGACTGGACATAAAGCAGTGCTACTACTCCCACCAGTTACATATATAAACACACAGTGTACTATAGAAATGAGTAGGCAATGTTCTACTCTACACGATCTCAAAGACAAGCTTACGGCGTCTAACTTGACAACTGTGTCCATCTTTCGAACCAGAGACTCCGTGTCCATGTTGACGACGATGTCACCTGCGGGGCGAGAGAGGGTGCGGGAGGAAAGGCTGGGTGAGGAGCGAGGCTGGGAGCCGCCATTGGTAAGGACCATGTAGCCGTTCATTAGCTTAGCTGGAGTGAGGCCGGAGGATAAAGACGGCAGCAGGTGGAAGGAGAGGACAGGACAGGCCGAGGACATGCAAGAGAGGAAAAGAGATTACAGATGGAGGGAGGACAGAGGCAGGAAGCAAGCAGAGAAATCAGCAAATTTAATAAAGAATGAAAATCCATTCTTTAGTGACCAGAGAGCTGGAACAGAAGTATCTGAATGTAATTCTTAACGTTTGTTTTAACCTTCCTTGAAGTGCAGTATCCTGTTATTGTCTAAACCTCTCTGGAGCTGCGTCCAGCTGGCATTTCAAAAAGGTTAAAACAAAGTCTGAAAATGATTTGCAAACATTGTTTCGCCCATGTTTTGTAAGAACCTACAGGTCTTATTCAGAATGAGAGAAAACACACACCTGAGAAAGAAATAGACAAAAGATTTCATTCTGCATCTTTTAAAAGAATTCACTGTTTGTATGTGTTTATATCTTAAGCTTAATAAAAACCGGACTGAACAATAAAAAATTATGACGAATTGCTTGATACATTGGCAATAGATAATACAATTACTGCTGTACAGATATTATACTATTGTCTGATGGTCAAGAATTTTACAACTCTTGGGTTTATAAATTAAATCACAACTAGATAACAACACAAGATAATCGCCTCATGCCCTGATCATTTTGTTGCTGATGCTTTTCAGCTTGAAGCCTTGATCAGAGAAAAGTGTACGTGACACCAGTAAGCTCTCTTTTTAAAGGAAACATAGTGCATTTTATCATCCAGATTATTCTTCACCTGGCAACAAAAATGCAGTGCTACTCCAAACACCCATTACTATTAAGCTCATTGATAACGGATGTGAGCACCTGCAGTGGCCCAGTTGTTGGAGGTCTTGTCTGGGGCGCTGTAGATGAAACGTCTCAGGCTGGTGACAGCATGGGAACCCACCAGGATGTAGCGGCCAAACGCTCTGCAATCCACCACCCGGATGTTGAGAGGAGGGTGCAAGAGCTCATTTTCTGGAAGGTCCTGAGGACAAAGACGGACAGACAACAAGCTAAAACGTTTAGAAAGCAAAGACAACCAGACAAGTTTCAAGTCATTTTCATGGTTATTAGTGGATGTAATATCTGTGGTACAACTCACCACCTCAAACCATTTGACCAGGGTGCTGAAGTTGGGGTTTTTCTTGTAGTTCTGGATGAGGGCAGATTGAACACCTCTACCTGCACACTCTATATCCACACGTGGCCGGTCCACCTGAGCTAAGTTAATCCTCTTCAGGTCCCTTAAACCCCAGAACAAAACCTGAACCGGAGAAAAACAGCAGTCCAGGAGTCCAGCAGTGAGCAAATAGGAGCTTTAGGGATGAAAACATAGAGCCGGTGGTTAAAATCTCACCTCAATGCGGTAGCGGCTCAGGATGGGCCGGATGCCCAACGGCACAGGAAGAATGGGCCCACGCTCAGAGTCTGTTGGCCCTTCGAGGGGAGGAAGATCAGCCCTGCCTCCTTGACCAATCTATTTAGGACAGAGCGAGGGGAAGCAAACCTGAGTATACCAGGTTGCAACACTTTTGCAGATTTCTGTATCGTGATGCAGTATGTGCACAGTACCAGATCTCTTTCCCATAGTCATAATATTTTGTAATAATTCTTTCTTTTCTAAATGGGGCAACTTCAAGGAAGTACAGAGAAAGTAAAGGTTAATGTCATGGCAGAAGAGAATACAGACAATTACTGCAGTACAAACGTAAGAGTAAGACGTAGTGGGATGAAAAGAGAGAATGAAAAGAGCACCTTTATTTGAGGAACAGCAAAGTTATGGACAGCGATCAGAGCTCGCCTGATCTCCTCCGCATCGAAAGGAATCTGTAGGCAGCAGGAGGAGGGACAGGAAGGAAAAGAAAAACAGGGGACATGATGGATATTTTAAAGGGCAGAGGAGGTAAAATTAATATGGATAGAAAGGGAACGAGAAGGATGGCGGCAGAGGAAACAAATGGAAATGGTAATGTAAAAGGGCAAGTGGAGACGTGCAGTGAGAATAAATAACAGGATAACAAGGAGTATGTGATGACGCAGGTGGAGTGGTAATGGAAATGGGAATACGGGTTGTGCAAACAGGCAAAGAGTAAGAGTGAGTTATAAATGAGATTGCAAGACAGAGAGAAAGAAGAGCCCAATTTTGGCTATTCTTTAATTACTTTGTTCATGTTTCACATCTTTATTAAAAGTAAAATCCTCCTCTTTTATCTGTGTGGTTTATTCTGTTTATATTTACCAAACTATAAAGTAGTGACATGCAATCTCTTAAGAGGAAGGCCCTACGAAATTGCATGAGTGTGCATGCATATGTAAATGCATTCATTAGTTTGTGTATGTTTACGTGTGTGTGTTCTCAGATATTTTACCTGCAGCAGTTCAAAAGCAGCCAGCAGCTCCCCAGCGGTGCAGTTCCCTCTGTAAATCTGGTAGTATTCCAGCTGTGGTGGGAACCTCGGTGGGCCGTAGTGCTCGTCACACATCTTGATGGTGGGTTTTGCAAACGTCCGACCTATGAACTCTGCCTTGCCCTGAACACCACATTGTGACAGCAGGCAGTCGGGACGGGGGACGGGGACGACGACAAGGGAAGGGGGGAGGGGTTAGACAAGAGTGTGGGAGTTGCAGTTTCCACGGTGGCCACTTGGTGTCAGTGTTGGTCAAGTTAAAGTGGTTGAAGGTTACAAAAAATGTGTAATTTACAGAGGGAAGGCTTGTGGAACAGAAATATCTAGTCTCGCTAACAAACTTACAAAGATGTTGAATGTTACACATGGATATTACAGTGTAATAGAACAAAAACGAGGTGTACTTGTCATAGACAGTAACAGACGTCTAGAGGCATTTTCTAATGAACTTTCTACACCTTTGTTTGATTCAAGTATTTGGAGGCAGATTTTCTCCACTGCACCAGTGTTACTGCAACAGCTTTCCCTGCTACTGCAGCCACTGTTGTTACAAATGAAAAAGGAAAAGTGTAAGTTTTTCCAAAACTTTTCTCATCAGCAGCTATATGAACCAAACAGTTAACGCTACAACAGCCACCAGTAGCTATTAGAACTTCTAATTCACACAGGCTATAAAGTACTAATGGTTTCACACTCTATTTAGCCAGCAGGATAACGTGAGTAAGGTCAGAGGTAATGTGAGGGACAGGGTGGATGAGCAGGGTGGACAGACAGTCGGAAGATGAGGGATGGAGAAGCAAAGCACTTTTAGTTTTAATAGCGCTAACTAACTCCTTTAAAACAAGCAGTTTCTCTATGATGCATCTGTTCATTCATGTAGACGAGGATCCTACCACAGTGTCCTGGTCGAAGATTTCAACTACAATGATTGGTGGGTCGTCTCTCAGCTCGCTGGCCTCTCCGAACAGCTCCACATCGTCAAACACCAGCAGCTGGTCCCATGTAGGGCACAGAGTCTCGCTCAGGACCTGAACAACATACACATCGGCTCAGGTCACACATAACCGACACAAACTCTCATTCAGCGGCTTTTAACTGTCACTGTTGGTCACACGCGGACACACAACTCAAACACATACTCACATTCATGTTCTTACCTCGGTAACCTGGCTGTGTGTGGAGAAGAAGACCCGAGCGAAAGGATCTGAAAGGCCACTGCTGTCGGCAGCAAACAGACTGCGGGCCTGGTACATGTGTGCTCTCAGCTGAAACACCTGCTTCACTGTTGGACGCACACGTACGTACACACACACACCAAATTAACTGACAATCGATCCCCCCACTTATATCGATGTAAGAAAAGTGAACCACAAAGTTAAAGCCATCAATAGAAGTCAAGTGAGAAGTGAATTTCTTTGTGTTTTGCCTCCTATTGATTTTATAGTTTAAACTTAATGGTAAATCAAGAGAAAAATAACGTAAAACATTAAAGAGAAGGAAAAGTAAAAGTAACTGCAAAACTTTTGTGCTATGGTTCAGGAAACTTAAATGATTCATCCACTGCAAATTTAGCATCAGCGAATGTTCGTGTTTCAGTGACAGTTATCAGGAGTGTAGAAGTGTGTCACTTACAGAGCTGATTTGATTCTGGATCAGCTGCTCAGATGTGTCTCATTTAGTCACGTCTAGTGTTTAGAGCACTTACTGTTGTAGATGAGGCTGACAGGGGGCACAGAGTGAAGACAGGGGCCCATTTTAGCAGCTTTAATCTCTTCAAAACCATTAGGCAGACCACTGAGGAAGTCCTTTCTCTGCTTGTTGAGGCCCAGCCATAGATACAGCTCCAGCTTAGCCTGAACAGTCCAGCCTGCAGGACCGAAGCCCTTCTTACCGGGCAGCTGTGGACACAGAACAGAAATAGACTCAATAGCTGTGAAGAGTTTCTTGCAATAAAAGCAGTCCATCAATGGCAAAAAATACTTGCTGTGGATTCTCTTGCACAATTCCTCTCCACAAGTCAATCATTAAGCATAAGAGACAACAACGAGGCCCAATCCATAAATATTAATACTATTGATTTTCAACCTCCGCTCCAGGCAGCTGTCACAGATTTACAAGCCTATTCACAAATAATCCTTGTCAATACTCATCCTGTATCGTGACTATTCAGCAATACTGATCATCTCATATGATGAGTGGCCTCTTTCAGCTGATTCAAAGTTAGCAAAGTGTCTTTTAACATGAGAAGCTTGAGTGAGAGAGGAGCAGGGAGAGTTGATCATACCTTGAGGAAGACAGCTTTGACTTTACCACAGTCTTTACCAGTTTCCTCATCCACTATGGAGTACAGGATGTCTTTGGAGGGAATCCGGGCATAAGCGACGCGCTTGTTGTTGCTCATCATCCAGACGAAGACATCTGGGATGCTGTGTTGTGGCTGGACAAGAAATACGCAGAAGCACTCTCATTAATCATAGTGTCTATCCCCAGTTATAACCCACCACACTGTAAAAATGTTGATTCTGCACTCTTACAGTATACAGTAGTGTTTATTCTGTGTATAGAAGCAGGAGTTTTGAGTACAGTCCCACAAAATTAAATCTGTACCTCGTCAGCGAGGAAACGAAGCCTCTGCAAGAAGTTCTGCGCTAGCTTGAGTTTGTCTCTGAAAGTGTTCTTCTTCACCTGAGTCCGAATCTGCTTGGCCTGCTGGCCCATGCTGTCCTGCAGGCGGAGGAGGAAGACGAGGAGGAGATCAGTGATGATGAAGCTTACTTACACAGGGGCACTTTACCTCACACACATCCTGTATACACATGCAGGCATTCAATCTAACCAACTGCAAGTGGATTTTTCTTTTACATGATATAAAAATATAAGATGCTTTGGTTCAAAGCAACTATCTTAAAACCAACACAGAAATTATTGACTATACAATACTTTGCTAATTACTAATTAAGCTTTAAATCACTGCTCACAGTGATGCTGTTTTCTTACAGAACACTTTACATTCCCGTGGCATTTCTTCTTGAAACAAATTAAACGTCGACTTGCAACCGAACACACACATGAAGCAGAGGGAATGTGGGTTCTGAGAATGAGATTGCAAATGAAATGCAACAGATTATTCAAGGGAGAGAAAAAGTAATTCAGAAATTAATCTCCTTGTGTAGCCTTTACAGGGACTCTGAACTATTTACTCACTAAGGCCCTGGAATTAGTGACTGAGGCGCAGCTTGAATTGATGCCTTTAATCACTTCATCCTCTCCTCTATTGCGCTTTCCTTTTGTTCTCTATTTGAGGAAAATGAAATCATACCATCTCTCTCATGCAGGACTTAAGCCGTTCTCGATCCAGTTTGGTTCTGCCGGCCTGGTTCACATCCTTGTTAGCAAGAGTCACGAACCGACTGGAAATGACCAGAAAATACACAGCATGAAACACGAACGTGACTTTACTCTATGTATAAATTTCTTCTGTTTTGTTTTATATTATTCCCCCGTGATCTAAAAAGTGACACAGAGACGGCCAGTATACACAAGAGCAGTGAACAACTGAAAGAGTTTCACCAAAAAAAATAACAAAAAAAACCTGAAAGCACATAAAGAGAGAGATACAACAATGAAGAAAGTACTGGTTTCTTTTATTTCTTCCATGACAACCATAGTGACGGTGTTTTAGAGATGCTTCAGTGCAAAGAGCTGCTATCTTCAATAGCTTCAGCAGCTTCTGATGAAGAATACAGAGGGCAGCTAGCGTCTTTAGTGTGAGAAGATGTCAATACACTTACTACAATGAGAAACTATCTGTATCAGTACTGACCACTGAGTGTGAAAGCCAGTTTTGATACAAAACCATAACAAATGAATATGATTATGCAGCTTGCCTGCAGCCAACGCTGAGCTCCTCCAGCACTCCCCTGAGTCTGCGCTCTGGAAAGGCCTTCTCTGTCTTAATGACCTCCTGAACATCATTCAAACCCTCCTCCTGTAGGAACACAAAAATAATGGTACTTAGCATAAAACTAGTTATTAGTCCTCAAAGGTTTATACCCAAAACACCTTTACTTGAGTATTTCAATTGTGAGCAAGAGGCAGCTTTAGTTACTAGCTACTTTTCAAATTCAGGTTTTACATACAAAATATAATCAGTTTAAAGAATATGGTGCATTGTTATAGATTAAACTACCAAATGCTATATAAAGCAGTTAATAGTACTCTCTCCTTCACCAGACACAACATGAAAATGCTACCATTATAATAATATTACATTAATATTAATTAATGTAAAACATAGTATTAAAATGCTGATGATTAACTTTTGATACTTTAAATTTATTTTGATGATAATATTTAACAACTTTTACTTAAGCAAGATTTTGAATGCAGGACTTTTACTTGTAACAGAGTCACTTAGAGTACTTTTTCCACCACTAGCACAGAGTAGTATCTGTTATAGAATACTACCATAATCAATATACACACATTTAATCTACCAGCCCTTGTGACAAGACCAGAATGCACTGTAAATGTAAACAATGTAGGTGATAATTTATCCTTGACTAATGTAGCTTATTTTTTATTTTGTGTCTTATCTCAGCACGTCAGACTTATAATGTCAGCAAACTGAAATGTGCAGACTGAGACAAAGGTGCGGACTGACCAGCTTGTCGGCAATCTTATCCATCATATTGGAGTTGTAGAGTCGTCTTCTCTGGTCCTGCCACCAGCTCTTGATGTAGACACATGGCTTCTTTTCAAAGTAGGGAAGATGGAAGTAGTTTCTGTAAAAGTACAAACAGAAGTTACTCACTACACTTAATGTTCGGTTTACAATCTAATTATGTAATGGATTGTGCAACTACTTTCTCAATGCTGCTAATTATTGGCAGCAATCCGCTCCTGGCTGTTGTTAAATGTACTATTTGTGATAATTGTAAAGCACTTAATCAGTTCCACGGGTTTAGTCTTGGCTTTTATTATATTGAAAATAAATAAGCAACATATTGGGTTCGAAGCACCCTTAACCCTGCCCCCTGCCCCCTGCCCCCTGTGACCCTTGACCCCTGACCTGTCGGTGATGACAGGCTTCATGAGCGGAGTGGAGGACACCGAGACCAGGTCCCCGTCCTCGTCCGCCTCGTCCTCACTGGAGTTCTGGATGAGCTCGCTCTCCTCCTCTTCATTCTCCCCATCTTTCTTCTTCTTCTTCGCTGATGAGGGCTTGCTTACGCCATCTATCTGGTTGCCATAGTTACCTGTGACATTGCAGAGTTTGTTACGGAGGTTTTTAAGGCGTGTGCATGGTTACAGTAACCACTGATTGTTGTGCCCTGTCACATTTCTCTGTTATACTTGTAGAGCGGAGGTCAATATTAATAAGATTAGTAAAAAGGTTTATTTACCTATCGTGATTTCAAAACTTATCGTTTTGTCACCAATCTTCCTGTCGATCATGGTGGCCTCCAGGAAGGAACCAAAGAGGAAGAACTCTTCTATTTTCCCTGTGGCGCTCTGATGGGGTGACGAGAGGGGCATGGAAGAAAAAATAAAACATTTCATTGGAGCTAAGTGCATTCGTTTTATTGTCTGTGTCTGTGGAACAATGGCTGCAGGAGCTTTTTATAATTCACTATACACATACAACCCATCTGTCTCTTCTCTGAGTTACTGAGCCACTCAGTTTACACGTTATTTTTGTACGTGCACTAATTTCCACCATATTCTTATTCATTCATGTGGTTGTTATTAGAAGATAAAATATTAATTATTACTATTTTAAAATTTAGTACTATTTTCAGCAGTTAATCAAAATGAATCCCAGGTAGCCAACAGATCTTAGTCCTAAATTCAAACCATAATCCTAATCATAACCCTAACCTGGTGTCTGAACTCAATTTGAATGGCACACCAGTATACTTGAGCTAATTTCAGGCGTTGTCCTAATGCAGAAATGTCCATACAGGCTGGAATTATCTGTAATTGTCACAGTGACGGGAGACGTCCAGTGATTATGATTTAAAAGGTAGTTCAAATAAACCACACATCAGGACACATTCAAGGCATATAAATAAACATACTTAGTTGCAGCCAAGTCAGCTGATCACTTTCTGACAGAATCAATAAAATGAACCCAAGTCTTAACAAATGTACAGTACCAATTAGATTAAGAGCAACTAAGCTCCTCCAAATAAAGACAGGAAACCGTATCATTGAGCAATTTCTTAAACAAAGAGGGAAGGAATCATTTTAGCTATAAGCTTACAAATTATTATACTAAGAAAAGAAGTATTTCCTCCCAAATTTATTTAAGTTTAGGGCAAGCCCAGAGGAGTCAAGCCCCTCACTTGCTTAACAATTGTCACAAATAGCCAATGGGAATGGGAAACACCTTTAAAGTCAGTTTTTAGAAATTAGGATGACAAATACGTCCATTTTACTTTGTGTGACAAATAATTTGCGAAACAAACTTCAAGTTTAAGATTCAGAGGGGAGATACAGTAAATGGGCCAATTTACTGCATTTCATTGCTCTGTGTTATTTTCTCAAATGAGTCATTTGTTTCTCCTTCCAAAAAAAATCCAAAACAACTTGGCGACAGACACAGAGTCAGCTGGCATGAATTACTGAGTATCCTGGGGGAGACATTTACACCCTAACAGCCAAGAGGTCGAATAGCTGGCAAGCTTGCACTGGAGCAGCGCATCTAATGTTTCTGATTTCCCTGGTGAGCAGTTACCGACACGTGCCAATACAATGGTGGATTGTAGCGTCACGTTGTTTACTCCGGGGTCAGGAGGTCAGAGGAGGTCAAACAGCTCGGTGTGCTCATGGATAACAGGTCAAGATAACAGCTTTTCTTTGACTTTGCTATGAGTAATTCAGTCACATAAAATCACACAAAAAAATCTGCACAAAAATTCACTTTTAACCGTGACTGTCTTCTCACCTCTGAGATGTTGGAGACAGTCTCCATCTGAACCTCAGTAGAGCTGATGATCTCAGGCGAGGTTGTGTCCAAGACCTCCACAGCAATGGAGAGCAGGAGACGGGCTCTGAAGGACACGCCCTCTCCCAGGCCGTCATTCAGGTCCTGGTGCTCGTCCATCAGAGTGTACTGACGGGTGGAGCCGTACATGTTGACCCAGGCTGGGCCCAGGGTGGGCAGGAACCCTGGAGATGGTATATGGAAAAGAAATGTCAGCAGACGATGATGTGGTAATCTCAATATTTGACTATTCGCTTTAAATTTTTTTTTTTATAGTATCTATATCCACTGCATCAAACACTGTATCTTCTCATCCGACACCGGGCACCAAAAACAGAAACAGAAACAGAAAAAGAACAAAAAACAAAAAACAAGCAAAAGCCAGGCAGCAGTCAAATCATTAACATATATGCTTATGACAATCACAGTCCATACAAAAAGAAAAGGAAAATGCAGGAAAGTCGATTGTCTTTCAAAGTCCTTATTGGGGTTCGATATTTTTCTCCATACCTTTTAAAACTGGTACCTGGATCTTCCTGAACTTTCCACCACAGCCAGTTCTATCAATAGAAGTTTTCTCCATCTACAGTGAGGAATTAATTTCTTGCAGCCACCGTTTAACAGCAAATTTTTCATTCTTCAAGATAAGTCTTGGCTGAACTTCTGACTCTCTCTCAGCACTCACTGCTGTGTTGTTGTTTCAATGCACTTTGCAGCAATGACTCATTAAGACAACATCGTGGCCATTTCTATGACTGTTTTCTTTGCATTATAAGCCAGTAACGGCTGAGTTTCTGTAGGTTTTACGTAAAAATGACATTCACTGGCCATGCTCATCACTTTTTATTCAAATCATGTGTAAATAACCTCCACCAACTTCAACAAATGTAGAAGTATGATTTCTGATGTATTTTTTTCACCTGGAAACATTAACTAGAGACGTAAATGTGCAAATGTTTGTGCCTTCGCTGTAAGTTCAACTGTTTTACACATAACACTCAAACCATGTTTGATGATGTCTCACTGTGTTGCAAAATTTGCTCTCAGTGTATCATGTAGTTCTGTTTAATATATACTAATGTATGTATTGATTGGAAGTCTATTTGAATGTCACCCATTAAACTCATACAGCCAGCTACAGGTCAGCTCTGCTAATTACTACATACAGTAAAATATTAAATGGTTAAGTCTGACTAATTAATGTACCCGACAGCTAATCAATGCTAATAAGACAAACTGCTTGCATGCTGCCCTGTGTGTCTTGACCTACCTTTGTCACCGTCATTCGATATCTTGCGTAGGTCAATAAAGTGGGTTCCTATGGCAACGTCGTTGACCTTATCCGAGTCTCGTATCTGGACCTTCAGGCGTTTGCAGAGTGGGGGGAACAGTTCAGTGAAGATGACCTGCTCGTTCCAGATTGGCTCATAACTGCTCTTCTGGACTGACGTTTTCCCCTGGAGACACGTGAAGGAACAACACTGAGCTCACAAAGCTGGAAAGGACAAATACACTTGTGGTGGACAGGTACATGTTTCTAGTTCTTGGTTTTCTTGTTGGCTGTAATTGTTTTTTTTTTTTGTGCTCATACTGTCGACAACGAGATCCCCTCTCAAAACAATTCAAATGTTAGAGACAAGGGACAAAAGCCACAGTCCTTGTTTGGTGAAGTAATGCATTTTGAGTAAAAAAAAAAAAAAATCAGCTGGAAAGTTGCAGTCTTTTTACAACAAAGTTTCCTCTCTTCCATTGTTCAGCAATAAACTGTGTCTGTTGAAGCACAAAGATGGAATCTCATACTAAAAGGGCTGTGAAATTGCAGAAAACTAACTTGATTTGTGTAAGTCAGACTGCAGAAAGCTCATTCAGCAATACAAGTCATTTTTGCAGAGAATCAGGACTCTGTTTTTTGCTCCCCCCAATTAGTTACACTGTTTGCGGCCGATATGGACCGGGGGGATGATTAAAGCAATTCATGACCTTTTTAATGTATATATGGACATGTAGAAACTGTATTAAGATGCATCTGAAAAAATGGGAATTGTTACAAGGGAACCACAGACATGTAGAGTATTTTGGACCTGTTCACAGATCCAAAAGGAGGATTTTTGGATGGGTGTTTTTATTATCCTCTCAAATACAGGGTAGTATTATATTATTGATCATAAACCTTAGATAACTATAATTGAGTCTGACTCTCCTCAGATTGAAAAACACTGTTTTATCATCTCAGAAATACTGGCTGGAGGATCTCAAACCTAAATGCCTAAAGCTTTCAAGGCACAACCAAAAACTTTTAGAAGATTTAGCAACCTTTTTTTCTCCCTCTTTTTCTTGCTTTTATTTTCCCTTGATGTTATAAAGTATTTGTGTATGCAACAGATGTAGCCTGGTGTTAATGTTTATATACATATATAATAAGTGAGTTTGAGAAACTGGCTTGCCAGCTGGTTTATATCAATAAACAATTTGAATTCTAAACTTTGTGTACTTTGTCCTTAATTATTTAAAACAATTATTTAAAACTTGGAAATCCACCTACAGTTTCCTGCACTTATGTATTATTAAATGCACTGTGTGTCTTAGGGGAGTAGTTCTAATCCCTCAGGGAGCAACAACAGCTACTAGAAAGTAGCAAAGAACAGCAGGATGTGTAGGGAGTTACTTTCTGCCCAGCAAACTGCACTTGAACGTAGGGGTCCACCAGGTCTCTATTCTCTCCTATGAAGGCCTTTTTCACATTAGCCATGATGCTGGTGTTCATTTTAGGAAGTCCCTCGGCGCGGTAGATCTTCACATAAAACCTCGCCCACTGCCTCTCTGCTGGGATGCCCTCTGGGAGCAGAAGGTTCCTGGAAGACAGACGACAGCACAACCTCTCATTGCGACACAGGATTACATTACATAGGATTGATTACAGCTAATATATACAGTATATATACAGTATAGATTTATTATAAGAGTAACTACAACATTTTATGTCTAAATGGAAGAAATTGAGCAGTGAAAACTAAATGCTGTTCAAATTTTAGCCTATAACCTATTATTAACACGCACATATACTGTGCTGCAGCTTGTTGAAAACTGTACATATTCTACTATCCACTGCAAAAAATTTAAAATTTTCAAAATCAATTCGATCTGATCATTAACAACTAATCACCCCTCTATGTCGTCTTCATCAGTCTCATTGGCCTTGTGTGGAGTCTTGATGTTGTCACCCTTTCCGACCACAGCAATGTCACACTTTATATATCCTTTGCATCCAGCCGTGATATCGTCAGGATCAGACAGGATGGCCCACTTGTGATAGAACTGGTGTTCTGGGATAGATGTCAATCAATCAATCAATCAATCAATCAATCAATCAATCAATCAATCAATCAATCAAGCAGCCAAACAACAGTTTTTATTCATTTTCACTTTACCCCAAACTACAAACTAACTTCATTTTCAGTGTGAAATAGACAGTGGTTTCAAACTATGCACATATGTTATTAGCAGTTATTATGTTCTTATTGGAGCTACAGCTTGTAGTTTACCAGGCTGAGAGTAAACAGTCCCAACATCCATCTTGAAGGTTCCCACCAACGTCCCACTCCGAAGAAGGTTTTTAGAGTGAATCACCTGATTAGACAGAATTGAGAATAACATATTAAATAAGGTTCATAAAGTGCAGCAAATACATAAACCTATGAATGCTACAGGAAGACAGAGGGGTTTTCATTTAATGTTAAACAAAAAGCTGCATAATTTCCTCATCCTTTTACATTAAACATAACCAGTGACTCTCATAGATCATTATTTTACCTCATTAATGCAATAACCAGAAATATCTTTTTATGGTGGTAATATCTACTCTTCCCTGTGCTTCAAAGCATTTACGTTTTATATTATTTTCAGTTATATTTTTTGCAGCAAACTGCTCTAAAATCTAACCTAAAGTGCAAGTATGAAAACTCAATAATGTAATGTGACAATTAATGTACCAATAACATGTATCACAGAGGGAAAAAAAAACTAGTAACAGTTTGTTTAGCTGGACTGTGGTGTGTACTTTTTTGGTTACACATTACTTACTGAGAGCTTGATGATCTTGTCAAACATAACGTGCGGAGGGACATGGAAGTCAAAGACGAAATACTGCAGAGAGTGGAGAAAAGGTTTGTCCGTTAAAATGTATTCACTTATTCCTCCATTGGAGGGGGTGGGGATGAGGGCCAGGGGGTGGCTGCTTTTGTACACCTTGTATGCTTTAAAATGAGACTGTTTAACCTTATGAATTCTGAACCACATGTATGTACGCATGTCAGTCTTCTCTCTCTCAAAACCTTGTCCCACTAATCCAAACAGAAACACGTGAAATGTGGTGACATTATATGTCTCCGGTGATGAACAAACCAGAACCAACGGCTGTTTCAACGCGAGGACAGAGAACTCAAAGGACTGTTATCTCAGTCACTCTGTTTTCCAGTTTGTCCACAGGGGATTTTCAGACAAACAAATCGATAGCAGACAAACCGACTCTTCCCTTCCCTGCAGGACACAGCCCACGGTGATTCCCAACACCAATGACTAGCACTTCCGACTGATCTACTGTTCAGAAACACTTCAGCAACTTCTCTCTAGTTCAGAGTGATATGTGTAATATTTTCATGTCAGTAAATCGTTATTACATTAGACCATCAAAGAGCACAATGACTGATGGTATCTATCCTGCATTTTACTACATTTTAAATCTGCAGATAAGTCAGACACTGACTGTTTCTCAACATGTGTTCATGTTGAGAAACATCTACTGCCTCCAGCTGTGCTACTGACATGAGGTGACAATTATCCTGATTTTTGGCAACTTTCAAGGCGATATGGTGACGAACAAAACAATGAGCTTAAAGATACTAAAATACTCAGTAGGTGCCCGCTTTCACATACAAGTAGTCATTTGACGTATTGTTATCACAGCCACTCAAATATGCAGTCAAATATATGATTATAGCCACCTCTTAATGTGAAAAACAAGGTATTTTTACAGAATCTAATTAATAATGCATTCATCTTTCAGATTTTGAGGACTGGTATCATTTTTTTTTGGACACTGTATGTACAGTACAATCAATTGGATGTACCACAGAATAGTGTTTCTACCTCTACAGTTCCGCCAAATCCTTTTCTCATTGTTCTGGGTCTAGTTTCATCCTGCTTCAACAACAAACCTCAGGGGAACCTCAGTGTTTGCCAGAATATGATTTAAGGCAGTTTGAGCCTCCTTAATGCCACGACTAGAGTGCTGCATTGATTGTAAATGTGGCATGGGAGCAACAATATATGAAGAATATGAAGGGACAGAGTGAAGCTGACATTCAGAGGTAAAAAGGAAGTTAGTTATGTCACATAAAAATGCATCTTAAAATGCCTCACCTCGTTGTAGTACGGGCAGTTGGTGGACTCCTTCATTGATGTGTACTTCTTGTCATCTCCAATCTCCACACACACCACAGGGTCCATGTTGAGCCCTATCAGCTGCCGAGCCTCGATCACTGTGATGCTGATCTGATGGGAGATATTAACACATTAGATCTGAAACCTGCAACAAGCTGAGCCTCCTCCAACAGAGAATCAACCAGCAGCAATACTATCATCATTAATCAAGCAACTGCACAGTAATTACCCTGAGGACAATTCAAAGGCAAACAATCCAAATTGATCTTCCACAGTCTCTAATGATGCCGATTCCAGCCAGTGAGGGCTTTTACCAAATTTCACTATTTTATCCTGTGATTTCACTGACTCTGCGAAAGGTTTCAGGATTCAAGCAACATCCCTCTGGTTTAATTAGTCTTTAGATGATGAAGAGGAACAGAGAGAAATAAAGAAGAGAGACGGAGAGGATGAGTCTGCAACTCACAGTTACACCAAGATTTTACTTGATTTGACTTGTGTATAAATGTATTCATGTTTTTAAGTTAAATAGGCCATGAAATTAGGCCACAGGCTTGTACTAGAGGACAGTTACACTGTGTCCACAATTATTCCTTTATTTCTTTTTACTGATGTTGTGATGAATAAATTTAGTGTGGCAGTCAACGCAGGCAAACAGCCTGGAGAATAAAGAAAGCTTTTTTTCTGACACATAGTTGGACATAACACCTCAGTAAAACAGAAAATTGCCATTCTTACACTTTCTTACACTGTTTTCATACAGATTAAACAAACAAGCTAAAAACCAAATGTTAATTAGTGAGCTTCAGAGGTGCTGGTAGGCTGATTTTCTTATCTTTGGAAAGAGCCAGGCTAGCTGTTTCTCCCTGTTTTCAGCTTTTGTGCTAAGATAATCAGCTGCTGACTGTAGTCTTATATTAATGGATAGATATAAGAGTGGTATTAATCTTCTCATATAACCATATAAGTGAACAAGCATATTTTCACAAAATGTCTGCTATGGGTATGGAGCTGGAGCCAGGAAACTTAGCTTCGCTTAGGATAAAGACTGAAAGCAGGGGGGAATGGACTAGCTCATCTCAGTTCAGAAATCCGTCCACCTCTAAAGCTTACAGATTAACACACTCTATCTTGTTAGTTTAATCCGAATACAAATGTGAAAATGACAGTGTGGATTTAGGGGCGTTATCTTCTCTATGTTCTCACACCCGCTAAGAGGGAGCATAAGGATATTACCCAAAATCCAAAGGATACTTCTATCTGCCGGTCTTTAAAGAATAATTTGCTATTCCATGGAAGCTACACTTCATCTTACACGCACGCACGCACGCACGCACGCACGCACGCACGCACGTACACACAAACACACACACACATACACACACACACACACACACACACACTCACACACACACACACACACACACACACACACACACACCTGATAATCGACTGGTCGTCCAGAGCTCGGTTCCATCTTGATGTCTGGCTTTGACCTGAAGAAATACACACATTACATATAATCAGTGGTTTTTCTACGGTGGATTGACGAATTACAGGGAAAACTGAGCGAGCGCAGGGGCACGAGCTCATTTTAGGTTTGAACCTTAAATTGTGATTACTCTCATTTTTCCATCTTCTCACTTGGAATAACTTTAAAATCTAGAAATATATGCTAATAAATGGTAGGGTTTTGCAGTCTACTTCAATTTATTCGGTGGCATCAGCAGTTTGAGATGTACAACACAGACAGAGAGGCCATTAAGTCTCTCTGCCTATCCGAGTCCTTTCCTCGAACTTGTCAGTGTATGAACAAGTATCCTACCTCTTATTTGACACGTTGGTGGTGACGGCCGTGACAGAGGCCAGAGAGATGGTGTCTGGGTCCAGTGTCCCAGCAAGACGCATCGCCTTCCTGTCCAGGTCCTCCATGTCCAGGACTGCTGGCTCATCTTGACAATGGAAATCAAGTATTAAAACTTGGTGTATATCTTAAAAAGGATTCCAGTACTTTTTAATATTATATGCATACAAATTCCACCACTTTTAAGGCTATCCATGAATAAATAATTCAGTAGTTCCCCATCAGAATTTTATTCCAGACAGTGTGCCCAAGGCTTTCAACATTATTTAGAAAATAAAAACGTACAGACATTATAGTTTAACAGTTAATTCTTAGCATTTTGAAAAATCTAAACAATTAAAAAGGTTTGAAGACATTATTTAGGAGTCCACATTTTCTTCCTATATGGCTCTGGGTAGGAGAGGCCATTTTTATTGTTGCTTGTTTATATGATCAATAAAAACCTAATTAAAGAGGTTTCAACGTGTTAAATTGCAAGATTTAAGTAAAACTTGTGAATTCACAACATAATTCTAGGTCAAACGGGTCTGTTGTTGTTTGTTGTTTTACCTCCTTTCTTGTGATCTTCTTTAGAGCTCTTGATCTTGCCGAGCTTCATGGCTGAGAACACTCCTTTCCCTGCTCTGGTGGAGGAGAGAGAGACGGCAGATGGGAGGAGAGAGGAAGGGGAACTGATATCTGATGACAATTAACTCGTGTCTGATTCACTGATGATCCATCCTCGGATCAACCAACTCCATATGTGTCAAGTTCCCTCCCCATCAGTAAGCTCAGACCCTCAGAGGGAGAGTGATGAACATTAACATGAACCTCACTTCAATAAAAAAAAAAACCTCACTGCCCACTGGACGTAATCAAAATGCAACTCAACACCATACGTTATGTCCATATATCATGGACATCTTTGTAACCGGGCTAGACATTTAACTCCAGAGGATTTAATCCCCCCACATCACCACCACCATCACCAATTCTCCAGACCCTCAATCACAAAACAAGAGTATCCAGTGTCTCCACATTGATATTATCTGGATCACATATCACCACAACAACAAAGAGCTTGTGATGTCAGCAGCGGGACGACAAATGAGAGGCCTTAATAATTAAAAATGAGTGTGACCGTCTAATTTGCTGCGGATATGGATACATGTCAGAGTAATAATGAATAGGAAGGTTTTCCTTTTGTTTCCTCAAGCATTCAGAGTCGAGTGTATCAGAGCCTAGTTTTTGCTTTGACCCCCCCCCCCCCCCCATCATTCAAGCTTCAACCTTCAACCTAATTTCATGGAATATGGAAAACTGGATGATTTTACACAACTGTGTCATGAAGTTGAAAGGTTCATGGCTGAGTGCCAAGCATGATTTAAAAGTAAAAGCCTGGGGCCTAGACAATGGGAATAGAAGTCAAGAGAGACAAAGGAATCACTCATCAAAACAGAGGCGAAAAGCTTTTCAAGTCAAATCAAATCAAGGCCCTTCACCATTACAGGTACGCTCTTTGGATTCCCAGCCTCCATCACAGTTTGACTGCTGTATTTACAAGTGATGGACAGGTTTATAGAACTGACAGAGCATGCATGAAAAGCCTTGACGGACACGTTGGAAAAAAATCTTTAAATGCAACATTTGTACAATGTAGTGCTGAAAAAGTTGGCCCATCAATTGATTATTCAATTGATAGAAAGTTAATTGGCAACATTTTTGACATCATATGTAATAATTTAGGTAGTTCATCAAGCAGAAAAGGCAAACAGTTGCACGTTACAGCCACTGAAATGTGAGCCTTTGCAGCTTTTTCAGTTTTGTATGATTGTAAATTGAATATATCTTTGAGTTTGGATCTTAATTTGAAACATCAGGAACTTGTCATTGGCATTTTCCTTATTTTCTGACATTTTATAGACTACATGATAAACAGTTTAACTGAAAGATAATGAATTGATATTGAAAACAAGTGTTAATTGCAGCGCTAATTACTGTAACTGCAAATTCAGATGTTCCAGTACTCCAGCCCATCTCATTGTCTCCTTATAATTCAACAACAAGGTACCAAAAGAAACATGCACACACACACACACGCAGGGTGTTTTTCATACATACCACATGAAAGACCCCACTGATCCTACTCAATGCCCCAGAGAGGTCAGATCAACATAAATCTGCTCCGAGCTTCTTATTTCGAACAATATTTCCACATTCTTCCACTGTCAGGTGCAGATACAGACCGACCAGGCAGGTAACAGTTGGACAGATGAGTGGATGATGGAGGAGAGAGGAGGGGAGGGGGAGAGAAAGAGGTGGAGGTACACGGTTGGAGATACAAAGAGAGGAGGAGGAAGAGGAGAAGGATGGAGTGGGTGGGGCTGTATGCATCATCAACACCAAAGAAAATGAGAGTCAAAACAAGTCCAGACGGCCTTTAGAGTTCAAAACAAACTAATAGGAACTTCATATAATGTTGTACTTTTCTATTTTTGTATTACAAAGAGGAAATATTTATATGTCACCCTGTGACAGTGAGAACATTGTAATGCACATTGATTGGAGGATTACTTTCAGTTTAAAATAAATGTTTAACCTTGTGGGAGCTGCATATTTGAGCTCTCGCAATGTGCCCACTGGTGCTCGCAGCACACCTGAGGAAATGTAGACAAGTTAAGCAAAAGTTTGACTCATCATAAAGATGAACATCCCAAGGTGTAAAGCTGAATCAACAAACAATGTGTAGCTCTGTGTTGACCAGAGAAACTCACTTTTATTCTTATTAGAGATACATTTCCTACACTGCCTTTGGACAAATGATTCACATTGTTGTTTTCTGATGTGCCACCTCTATAGTTAAAGTCTTGTTAAGTTTGGGTAAATAAAACTGTTTGGTTATGGAAACAATCTGGTCATGGTTGAAGGAAACCAACATTTACTGGAGGCATATGGAGTCAGAGACACTTTATACACCCAACTGCCCTTCTTAAAAGGTTTTGATGCACTTGTGGCCCAACAATATTGTGCTTCATGCTACTTTTGCCTTGGCATCTGAGAGAGATTAGCCACAAGAGGTCCAAGTTACTTGTCAGGACTGTGGTTATTGTGATGAGGACAGCCAACATATATCAATAACATATATCAGTGTATCAGCAGTTGTAGGCCAGTAAGATCTACAGCACGTCTGCCGCTGGTAAAGAGTAAATCCTCTGTGCACAATTAGTGATTTTTAACCAAAAAAAGAGAAGAAAGTCACTGGAAAATTCTAGGAGACAAACTGAGCTACTAAATATTTTACTTACTTGTCATTCGCTCCTTTAACTATCTTTTACTTTCCTTTGCTGAGCTGATTTAAGGAGGAACACAACGACAGAGATCAGAGACAAATGCTTCCAGCAGGAGGCCATGTCTGAGTTTAAAATGAAATAAACCATGAAAGCTTTTTTCTTTTTTAAACAAGCCATCCCTCTAAGCTGATTTAATGATGAAACCTTCAAAGATGTCGGTGACACGGCAAAGAAAGTTCACATGCGGTTTCCAATTAGAGAAATTGAAACATGTAAATTCACACTCTGCTTAGGAAGTTTGCAGGTAAAACTCACAAAGTCTCAAACTTTAGAAGAAAACAGAAAGAAGTAGCGATTCAAGAAGATGTTGTACCTATTATTTTCTCTCTCCTTTTCTTCTGATTTGAAATAAGGACTCCAAATGCATCAGTGACTATCATTTGCAGCATCATCCACTCACTGCACATCAACCGAACACACAAACAAACACCTTGAATGAAAGTGAAGTTCATTCAAACTTTGTAGATAAATAAATGGCAAGCTCACTTTTGTATGCAAAGCAAAGCTATCGCATATCTAAAAAGCACAAAACATAAGTACATGTGCTCAAAGGAGAAAATGAACTGTACCAAGTGTCTGGGTGCGATTGTGGGCGAATCAATAATACATGAAAGCATGAATAAATCGCCTCGTTACATGTGTAAACTGCAGCAAAGATGAATGATCTAAATGAAGCAGAATTATTCCCAAGGTTATTCACTGGTACCTGGCAGCTTGATTTCCATCTCCTCAGTACAGCAAGATTTTCAAACTGTGCGTAAAACATTTTCCTCACAGTTATGAATTCATATTTAATGTGCATGTCGAGCAGTGGGACATGAAGCGGAGGACAAGTGAGTCAGTTGCAGTTAACTCCATCTGGCTCTGAACTTACTTCGCAGTGGGTGGTCAAACATGAACAAGTGTGCATGAGTAAAGAAATAATGGATCTGTAGTATTACAATATCAGAGGTTACTGTCCTGTCACCGTCAACCAAGCTAGCCATTACAGGGCAGGTATTATTAGCTCAGGAGAAGGTATGTCATGTACGGCATGTCACATGACCAACCAGCATGGGCGGTCCACATCATGCTCGCTGAGTGATGGCAGAGCCGGTGGCACCCTGCGTTTGTATCTGCCAATCTCACCAAGAAACTGAGCTGATGAAAGAAGTTAAAGAAAGCTCAGTGTATTGTATTCGTGAATGTCCATAAGGTCAAAAGCTCCAACAATGTGCAATCGCAAGTTTTGTGTAGATGTGCACCAAGGTGACAACAACAGTTACCTCTTTACGCAGATTGAATCCAGTTGTCTTGTCACAACAACTTTGGTCACACACTCGTGTTAGTTTTATCCAGTGTTTTCAAATGTGCTTGTATTTCAGCCACTCCCCTTGTTTATCTCTAAATGTGATGTACAGTATATATCGTCAAAGTGGTGAGGTTTTTTCTCTATTTGCTTGTGTTGTCTTCACCGTGTGGAACTCTCTCAACCGCTGCACACATCTCCCATTCAGAAGAAAATAAATGAATAAAGGGAAGATAAAAAATAGCCTGTCAGTGATCAATAATTCATTGACATAGGCTGTGCTGTATGTTCTGCTCTGGGGGCTCTGCTGAATGGAGCTCAATGAGGCAGACCCCCCCCCCCGTTCTGTCTCTCACAGACACATGGATTGGATGGACATATTTCGGTGCTTCCAGGATCAGATAAGATAAGATGAAAACTCTTTCTATACCGAGAACTCTCACCTTATTGAACGCTCTGCAGCCCTCTCTCTCTCTCTCTCTCTCTCTCTCTCTCTCTCACAATACTTGATTTCTTTCATTGGCAGACTTCTTCTTCTGCTGAATGCATCAAGTAATGTTCCACTTTGATTGTAGTGAGACCTCTACAACCTTTACATGACGGCAGCAGATAAAACAGAATATCAATATTATTTATCTCTGTGATATTGACACCTCCTCAAGTGAGTTTGTGTAGCCGCTTCATTTGTCTACAGGAAAGTTAAGTGAATTAGTAATTGATATACTTTGCCTGTGATGCTCTGAGTGTTTGCTCACAACTTTACCCTCATTAGTCTCACATAGTTAGAAGCTTATGCAAGATTAATGCCTTCACACCCAAAAAAGAGCCTTGAGCCGTAACAGCCTACATACAGCAAACAAAACATTTTTAAAAAGTCCTTCAGCCATATTGTGTGTTTAACTGTGTTTTTGTGTGTGCGTTTATATATAGGATAAATATATTACACAATATTTTACAATGTGTTTGTGTGTATGATTTAGACTTTCTGAATAACACAGACAGAGGAAGCAAGAAAAAAAAAACAGGGATGGTAAGGAAAATGAAGAGGAAGGAAGGGTTATGAGAAAGTATATTCAGAAACATGCATCACTTTTAAAATTTTAATATCCATTCCAAAATAGCACTCTTGCATCTTTTACTCTGTTATTGCATCAACTGGGTTAGAACAAAAAAAAAAATTCTCTGGACGATAAGCTATGACTCAGACTGCTTCAAAAGTTTTCCAAGACAAAATGTTCCTGTTTTCTCGACAACCCTCATGACGTCTGAGGGATTCCAAGGACATTTCCCTTTATGTAATCTTATAAATAATCATCAATAATGAAGAAAACAGCTCCACTGAATCCTATCTGGGACAAACACACAGGTGATACCAGAAATTAAGATTTAACCCAAGAGGCATGTCGTCATCAGGGCTTGGAAAAAAAACAAAAAAAAACCAAACACAGCACAGTGATACAAACTCATTCAAAGTGTCGTACTATCACACAAACTGACACTAAGAACCACTGCAAGTCATATCATAACAGCAGAGCTGAAAAACAGAGCAGTCCCTCGAGAGAATACATCTACATAACAAGAAACAAGAAATGTCAAAGATTCAAAAGAGAACTCCTTCAATCCAGCATCTGTCTCAGCAGAAGAAAACAAGCAGGAGAACAGATAAAAAAAAATAAAAAAAATACAGCCTGCAGATAATTTAAAACCAAGTATGAAGGATTGAAAATGACAACTCACATCTTTATGATTGCGTACATAAAAAAATTAAACTTTGAATAAACTTTTTATGGCGTTTATCTGTGAGCTCCCAACAGAAAGAGATTTTGAAATGCCTTATCTATGACTGCAGTGTGTCAGCAATGTCTCGATTCACTGATCTGAAGATTTTTCATTTGCTGACAAGGACTTACTGTTTGAAAGCTGGAGGCTTGCCACAGTGCACAATAACAGTGTATTACAACTTGCATCAGGAGACTACTGATTCATATTTGACATCAATAATAGATGAACACCAAAGCAACACCTACTGCTTATCTGGAGTGTATGGTTAGAAACACAATCCTATTTTTCAGGGATAAAAATAAGCATCTCTTAAAGGCCCTGCACACCAACACTGGGGTTTTAATTGACTGACATTATAATTAAAAATGAAAGAGTTTGGAGAGCTTCTTATCTTTAGAGCTGCCCCATAATAATCGATTATTATTATTACGTTAGTCAAACAAGTTTTGATTGGTTGTTTGGTCAAAAAAATCTGCTGACACACAGTCACTCAGTCAGTCATGGACAGACATCGTTTACACAGCAGGACCTTGTATTTGTTAGACAGTATTGTAACTAGGGGTGTTGGGTTCATGTAACTGGGCGTATTTAGTAATAAAATAATAAACAAGACACAGAGATCCAGTGTGATGAACAGCAGCAACAACTTCTTTATTTTCCTAACGTGTGTGTCACGAGCAGGGGTCTGACAACAGCTCCTGGCTTAACGCAAGGTTACGGTGACTCTTAATGGACGGACTACCTCAAATATCAAAACAACCCATACACATGGGACAGTCTGTTACAGTAATTGCATACCGGTACAGCTGTAATGTAGCACAGCGTTAGCAATGTCAGTTATAATATTCTTTCTCAGCCCTGGACTCAAACCATTTTCTGATGCCTCCCCAAAATATATATATTTAAATAATCAAATTAAGATCATAAATGTGCGATGACTAGACGACTAATGGATTGAATCAATTAATGCTAGTCGAAAAGGACAACCTGGTCGGGACAGCCCTAGTCACTTAAGGGTCTTGAAAGTCAATCACTAAGTTGGGAACACTGGTCCTGAGAATAAGTCTAATTGGGCAACATAAGTGAAAACAGTGTGGGTCGGGCCTTAAAGGACCTATGCAAATTACAACGAAGGCTCGAGAATTATATTCATTATCAGTATATCTATACTGTATATGAATGTCATGGTTTCTCTATTAGCTAACATGTCTGTTGTTGTGACTGTTTCCACAGGGAGTCAGTGCTGCAGTGAGCAGACCCACTGAGATAAAGAGGAGTGAGACAAAAGACCAGACGACACCTGCACCACAGCGCTGAGTGATGATCCATCATCGACATGTGATGCCAGAGCCGGCTTTGAAAACACAGCAGTTTACACTAATAGATAAATGAATCACACACTTGGCAAAAAATGATGATAAATAAATCAACACTTGTTTGAGTAAATTATACTTTCAACAGAAGCTTTGCTCAGGCTGATATTTATCCTTTGAGTAGTTTGATGTTTTGCAAATGATTCATGCATATTTAGATGGTTTGAATAAACACAATGACTATTTACAGCTTTATGTTTCAGTGGAGCAATGGCGATTCATTTATGCATTGTTTCAGCAAAGAAAATCCTGTCTTTGTAGCCCTTGCACCAGTGTGAAAATAGGATCAAACTCCAACGTCGAACCCCACTTCACCTCATTATTCCATCTTTCAGCATTTGATGTCCACAGATCAAATGACAACCGCAGCCTTAAATCCATTCTTTTCATTCCTGGCACATGTGTTCCCTCTGCATGCACTATTCAGCAGATCTGCTTCACTGGCAGTAATACCACTCAGGAGGTGATTTATTTATTAGGAATAACAAAACTCACTGCAAAACCGACTCATTGTGGCGCTGCAGATAGCACAAAACGCTTTACGGGCTCCACCATAAATCATCCTGCAGGCTTGCGTACAATGTGGAGGGAGGTTGAGGAGAGGTGGTAGCAGTGAGTTGGTCAAGTTCAACTGCAATTTCACTCATTTAAGGAGATGAGGAGGAACCAATACACCCCAATAAGCCACTTACTTTGTACTGCAGTCATTTTGTACAGCTATAATGAAATTTGATGACCACTGAAAACTGCCATGAGTGCAAACTCTTCAGTAAGCAGCACACATGACCTTTAGGCCGCAGGTGATACAACAGAAATAGACAGCAGTGGGCGGAGCTGTGTACCATGTACCAAGTGGACACAGTTCCTCTGTTTGTTCTTCGACTCTGCATTCGTGTGTAAACTCAGAACGATATGTGTAGAATTAATGGAGGAGTCCCAGTTTGCATGTCTGCCTCTCACGTGTTTTAGAAATACAATATAACCATTTTAACAAAGTTTTAAGTTTAAATTTTCAGAAAGACTTCCAAGCTTTTAGAAGTTCTGAGAGTATGATGCTTAATGCCTGGGAGGGTAACATATTTCTTCCATAACTTCATCAAATGCATCAGACTTGTAGAAAACTGATTTTGAAGGTGACATCGCTGTGAAATATTACCTTCACATGAAAGGGGAGGTAAAACAGACGCACGAAACCCCACACCAGAATCAGGTAAAAGCAGACAGATGGCTGCGGAAAATATAACTCGAGGCTACATTTGTGAAATCCTCCTCCTCATTCTCCTCCTCCTCATCTTCCCTAGAGGATTAAGAAAGTCATTCCAGGTTATCATCTCCGGTACATTCACGCTTCATTACCGCAAGATGAACAATTAACACTGGCTGAAGATGTCCGAATTCAGGACACAATGAAACATCTTTAGAAAGTTTAATTCTGGGAACCTCTCAATCAGAGATTAACTGAGCAGCTGGTAATTCAAGATATAAAAAGGTTTGGATGAGAAGTGGTAAGGCTATTAAAAATCTCTCCACAATTCCATCAGTCTGGCCTACACCGGAGTGAGGCAGATTACAGCTGGATTTGATGGCTAGGTTGGAAATTATTGACATTTTGTCAGCAACTCAATCACTTCTTTCCCCAAAGACAAAATCCCTACGGCAGCCTTTACAAAGTCTGACTGACAGCTGTGTGCTATCACAGCAACTAGATGACAGGTGCCCTCATTATGCAGCAAAGACAAAGGCTTACTCACCTGGAAAAGGGTGACAAACTGGTCATGTAGTCAAAAAACAGCATAATTAATGCTCTGACATTGTACCGGATGCTATATATACGTGTTAGCTACATGACTTTGGTGATTACTTTCACCCAGCTTTTACTGAACCCTTTTACAGTATTTCCTTGTCAACCAAATCCAAACACTGTATCTGTTATGCAACACCCGTGGGATGCTCCAAAACTTAGATTAATCAACTTTTCTTGTTTTCCTCAGGCTGCTTTGAGTCTTTTATCGGCCGACCCTGAACACTTCCTTAATTGTATTCAGTAAAAAAAAGCACAACTTGGGCTTTCAGTGTCAACAAAACCAAAAACATGCACACAAAAGCATTCAGCCACACACACACACACACACACACACACACACACACACACACTCACACACAGATACACACAAGCAGACACACAATTTTTCACTCTTCCATTCAACATGCAGTATAATGATGGATTTAGGGCTCTTGCTGTGCAGATGGTCTCAGTGGAGATCGATGCAACCCACAGATTATTTCACATACTATTCAGCAAAATCATGACAAGCAAACCGAAGAGAAAGACCACACACCATGGCAAAGAGGAAGCGAGTGGAGCTGCAGGGCCAACGCTCTTACGGTGTTTCATACTAAATCTATATAACCTCGCACAGCCTGGGACTAGTTCGTACTTAAAATAAAAACATCTTGTTTTCTATTGCGGAGATCAAATTAATATTAATATTCAGAGGCAAATCAACAGGGCGATTCACTGTGAAATGCTGTTATTGTAATCATGTTATCATGGAGATTATTTGTATGTTAGACTCACTTTCTGAAGGTCGGTATGGATCCCTGTAAGGACCGTCCAGGGGACGTCCCAGACCCGTGGCTTTGTCCAGAAAGCAAGCTGTCAGTTTCAAAGGCAAACATCCCGTCACGGTCATCAGGAACATCCAGGAACTCCCCATCGCTCCACGCTCCCACTGTGCCGTCCATCGGCTGGTATCTTATCTCTATGGTAACACTGGTCTGAAAATGATGAGGACGTTGATGAAAACTTCATATCAAAAGGAAATATAATTTTATCTCAATGTATCAATTTTTTTTTTTTTTTTAATAATAAAAGTTGCCAAATGATCCACCTCCACCTGTTGAGCAGATCTGTTTATTCCTGCCCTCAGCTGCGTTTGATGTGTGTATCATTCCTGTACCCAAATGAAGCCGATCTTCATGACATGTCTAATCTAGAAACTCCTACAATGCCAAAATCAAAACCCAATTAATGTCCCTGACACTAATGTAATTTGTTTGTTTGTTAGGATGACAGAGTGCTATCATAATTTATGCTCCTTCAGCTGTCAAGATCATTTTAAAGTGATTCAATAAAGCTCGAGGAGCAAAGGCATACCAAAGCTTATCACAAATATTTTCCTTTTAATTGCCTCTTCGAATCCAGTTTTACTAAGTAATTTTTAGCCTATTGTGATTTTTTTTTAACCTGATATCTTGTTATCTCTTATACATTATACTATATATATGTATATTGTACATTCATGTTTGTATATAAAATGTTGGAATATTTTAGCTTTTTTAATTTTAGCTGTTAAACTCAGCACAGATAGTATAACACTGCACCCACTGCCGAACCAAACTTGTACTGACAGAGTCCAACACAAAAGAGCCAACACCTGGAGGCTTAGTCTTGGCATGTCTATATCAGCCCATTTAATTGTGTTTAGAAAAATCTCTCAATATAGGCAACAAACTTTAACAAGACTATAAATCATCTCCTCTGGCTGGTGTTTGCTGGAGGAATTTAGATTGACGGTAACGGTTAGTTGAATGTGGGCCAGAATCATGGCTGACACCGTAGTTTGTCTTTGGGGTCTTCTGCGGAGCCGTGCTTGGACAAATATTATCCTCCTGACAATGACCTGATGTTTATTACGAAGTGGCCAATTTATTCTACTGACAGAGACGGATGAGGAGAAAATATACACAAGTCTCTCGTTCTCCTCTCTCCCTCCATCTCCCTCTTTTTCGCTCTCCCTTCCTTACATCCTCGCAAGGCAATCACTGTAGTCCATGAGGAGTTGGATTTGTTACCATGGCGACCACACCAGTGCAGAGTTGCAAGTAACAGTATTGCTCTTGGGTTATGTCGGGCTTAGTTTTACCACTTTCTTGCTACATGGTTGTGCAGTACTGAAATTCTGTTAATTGTGTGTGTTTGAGTGTGTGTGTGTATGTGTGTGTGTGTGTGTGTGTGTGTGTATGTGCATGTGTATGTTTGCACGCTATGATGTGTGTTCATGAGAATCCACTTGCACATATGTCAGTCATGAGTGTGTGTGAGCATGTGCATGTGCATGTGCATGTGTGTGTGTGTGTGTTTGTGTGACCCCTAAAGCACTCCCATGTTGTGTGTCATCATCTCAGAAACATCACATCAGCATTCCCAGCTCCAGTAACACAGATCTGCACCCCGGGGTGCTTTAAAATCTTATACGGTTAAGTTCTCCCTTACACATCCCACTGTGCTGCTTTCATTTCCACATACATATTCACTCTTAAATTATGTATTCAGCGGCGAAATCATCCTCACTCTCATCTTTACCACGGAGCTGCTCTCTGTTTAGCTGTTCTAAACACTATTTCCAATCAATAGCGAATATCTGGATTAATGTTAATGGCGAGTATTGTGATATGCTGATGTTGTAATTCCATCAGGCCCTTGTTGATGGAAAAACAACAGCAGTGCCTTTACAGGCCGGATGAAGGCTGTTATTTCTCCTGTCGTCTCTGCTGCAGGTGCAATGGAAGATCGACTTCTCTGTTTAATGTTCCCCTATTTAGTTGTGAATGCATTTTGCTGGTTAATAAGATTCCTTTTCATTCTACTGGTGTAAGGTAAGTCATACATAAACTGTTAAATTTTTGCTTTTGGAACACTGTTTTTTGGACTCTTTTGTTCTCTTTTAAATTCTCCTCTAAGTGAATGTGGAGAAATTCCCTTATTCCACTCCGTCTGTGTCAGCTTGTCCCAGCTTCTTCATTGAACCTGTATGATGTTTCACCTGAGTGGAATATTTAAACTGCAAATGCAAATGTTTTTACGGCCGCCCTATTCCATCAAAGTATTCACACTGTGCCTCTTTTACATATACACATTTCCACTAAATTCATCCTGACATGTTTGGTGTGTTCGGAAACTTTGGGATTTTCAGTTGAATTTAGAATACAGTTATTTGAAATTCGGCTACACAGATTTGGTTTATACTGACGGATTAAATGGGATTAGAGATGTAACCTACACACAGTTGCTGTTAAACCTGACATCATTATTTCTATGGCCACTTGTGACGGCACAACAAGCTGTAAACACAACATTGACATATTAGCAACCACTGTGTGGAAGCTAATGGGGATCCAAATAAAGAAATAATGAACATTATAAGTTTATAAAACTGTTCTGGTGAAAATGTTAGCAAACAGTTGCCTATTTGCATTTAAAGCTGTCTCATATCGTCTCTGCTTTCGCTCTGCCCCCAAGACAAATACTGGACTCTTCAGCTGCTTAATGCTTCATGTTGATGCTCCAACCAGCAAGTTACTACCTTTGTCTGCTGTTTGTTGCTGGACAGGTAGCATACAGTGGGTTTATTAGAGCTTTTTTGCTCTGCAACAGTTACTTGAAAAACAATGTGAGAGTGAAACAAAACACTAAAGTTTCAGGAATAAAGCAAAGTAATAAACTGAAATGCACTGTAAAGCTCTGCAGTGAATAAATGAGCTTTATGCCATGTTCAAACAGCTACTGTAGCAGTAAGCTCAGTTTTACTTTTTATTCATTCGTTTGAAATTATTATTTTCTTATTTTATACCTGTTGGTATTCACAAAGATTCAGCAGACAAATCATTCCTGGAAATTACTCTGTACACATCATCTACCGAGCGACCAAGTGTTATGAAGACACTCTCCAAAAATGTCAACTCTATCACAGCATAACACCTATAGATCACTGACACTCCACTGTGAGAGCAGTGTTTATCCATACCTTTATTGATGTGTTGTTATCATCGATGAGTGTGTCGGTCAGCTCTAGGTGTCCCTCTTCAGCCACCTTCTGAAGTACCATGCAGAAAGTCCCCACCAGTCTGCAGGAAAACATCGAGGGAGACGCATATCGTTAACACAAATCAATGAGATCAATACACTGCATTATGTGTTTTTGTCCTTTGTTCCTCCTCTGTTGCCCATCTGTTTACCTCTGTGTATTCAACCATTGTCACATTGTTAGTCTATATACTTTTATAGTTAAGCCTCTAAATACTGACAAATTGTACTTTTTTTATTGACCAAAAGCATCTGTGCTCCACCGCTCTGTCTCACAGCGAGCAGGTGAGCATGTGTCAGCGACAGAGTCATGGACAGACGGCGGATGGGTGCTGATGGATATGTGCTCTGTCAGACATTGAGAGAGTGCCGAACTGCTTTTGTCACTACAGTATGTCACACCTCAAAAGCAATGTAAAGAAAGCAGATAGCGCATCAAATACACAAACACAATGTCAATCAATCCCCCTTTTCACCTGGAGTCTCCTCTCGGTTACCCGTACTTTGTGCACAGCTGTGAGAAGTAAGATGAGTACATTTACTGTCGTTCAATCCGTTTATATTACACAGAACTAATATAAACATTAAGATGTGAAGGAGCTTCATGTGATACTTAAGATTATCATATATTAAATAATAGTTGTTTTGTTTTTGTTAAAGCTAGTATGTTAATACTGCTGATCCTACTGAGCATCAACTCTCCTTTATGTGGCTTTCTGACCGTTTTTAGCTGCTTTCAGCTGATTGGTTTGATTTGTTGCTCCATATGGTTGCCTCCACACGGTGCTCACCAAGCTGTCTTAAAATCATGGACACCTACTCCCAACACAAGAGCTCAGGCCCACTGATTATAAACTACATGTCTGAAGTGGTAATCTGTGGTGTTTGCCTCATACAATACAACTACAACTACCACCATTAAGAATACAGTTGACTATGGTGTGACAATGAGTAAAAATGTGTGTTGTATATAATTATATTGATAAGGAAATGCCACCATTCTTGGAGCAATCTAAGAAGCCGCAAAAAATATATATTCTAAATAACTCAGTTTATTCTCCAAAGCTCTCAACACATTTCAGCAGCAACTCTCAACCTCTTCTCTTAAGCTCTTATCAATGCCCCCAAGGACAAGTCACAGAATGGATGAGGACTCACACACCATTCAGTCACCCAGCACACTGAATTAAAAGGTTATTCTTTGCTTTCGTTTTGCCAAAGGTGGCTGTTACTTGGAGTTTGCAAGAAAAAGAAGAGTCCTCTCAGTTTGTTTTAAAGAGCAAAGCTGAAGGCTGCAGGAACTCAGTGCTGACCTTTTTCTTTTTTTTACTGTTTTCTTTTGAATCTGCATTTAGAGAAAACACCTTTACAAATTTAGATGACAAAATTAAAGTTCAGCAAGGTAACTGAAAGCTTGATATTTTTTGTCATCAATTACGAGAAGTTTCTTTTTTTTATTTGTATAAAACCTCATGAATGGATTATGTTAGTATCATTTTACCATGCTCACATTTTATCGCCATTACGGTAACTACCAGTTTCCGATTTGTAATCATCGTTCCTGTCAACATCCAAGTCTTTTGTCTAAACACTCCAATATAACCGACTGAGCAGTTTATGATACAGAAAACCAATCCAAACATAGATTCCTTGTGTTAGCCAAAGCCCATCAAACAAGGTAATAAAACCCAAATTTATTGGATATGATATTATATTGTCAATGCACAGTGTTTTTAACCCTCAAACAACCAACTCTGCAACTCTGACACAAAAGTGGAAACAAGAAGAAACAATGTTAACTGAATGTGCAATGGAAGAATATTAGATACAGTCCCTGTCTTTAATATTTCCTCAAAGAACAAACAACAGAATAGGACAAATTGATTGTTGTTGTTCCATACACTGTATAACAGGGGTCCCCAAACTACGGCCCGCGGGCCACATCCGGCCCGCCAAAGCAATTGGAGTGGCCCACTTAACGATCCCAGACAATCCCTCTAAACATCAACCAATTTTTATTAAATTGCATTTTCCTATCATAACATCATAACATATCAGACCATAGTTATGAGCTATTTATAGTTAATAGTGGCTCATCTTCACCTCCTCACACAATGGTATATTCTGACGTGACTTTGATAGTGACCGAGCCAACGTCAAGCTGCAAAGTTCTGAGGTGGGAAAAACTTTTTGGAA